TTTTCCATAGACCCTTCTTAATAAACTTAAGCTTAATTTTCCCACAATGCCCAGTAAGGCTACTAATATTTGCCAGTGAATCAGACTCAAGTGTTCTCCTGAGGGAAGCTTTGTAATGCTGAGAACGGCAAAACCAGCCCAATGTGGAAACTTCAGGGGATCTGCTGTCTATTTTTGATGATTTTTTTTTTGTTACTTTTTTCTCATCGTAACCAGAAACAGATAAAAGAAGATGAAACCAGATGTTTTGCTGTTGACTGTAGCACACGGGGATTGAAAGTGAATTCTCTGGCAATGATTTCTTATTACTTGAGTTTGTTCAGAACAATAGAGAATATCTGATATGTAACAAATATAAAAACACAGAGCAGACAATGGACAATCTGTTTCGAGACTTGAAGTAGTGAAAAGTTTTGTATATGAATCTCATTAGATAAATTACAGCTTCATAAACATCTTTTCTATTATGCTATTGTAAAGTTTGAGAAGTTTAAGAGTTTTTAAATGTCTTTGATTAAATCAACCAAAATAAATCTGATTTAAAACAAAGTGCAATCTATAATATTGTTAAATATAGTACATGGAAAACACTGTTTAATATATTTGCAAATGGGTGAAGCAGTGGCACAGTAGGTAGTGCTGTCGCCTCAAAGCAAGAAGGTTGCTGGTTCGAGCCTCGACTCAGTTGGTGTTTCTGTGTGGAGTTTGCATGTCACCCTGCGTTCGGGTGGGTTTCCTCCGGGTTTCCCCCACAGTCCAAAGACATGCAGTACAGGTGAATTGGGAAAGCTAAATTGCCTGTAGTGTATGAATGAGTATGGTAGTGTGTGTGTGGATGTTTCCCAGAGATGGGTTGCGGCTGGAAGGGCATCCGCTGCGTAAAAACTTGCTGGATAAGTTTGCAGTTCATTCCGCTGTGGCGACCTCGGATTAATAAAGGGACCAAGCCGACAAGAAAATGAATGAATTTATGATATTTGAAAATGTAATTTACTCCAGTGATTACATTACTGGCCGGTGCCTGTGAAACAATGCGCCTTCTAATTTTTTCTTATAATATTATTTTTATATATTAGAGTAAAACAAAAGCAAACTGTGAAATTACACATATTGACATTTAGCCTTTTGGTCTAGATTTATTCTCATAAAGAATTTCATGGTGTGTTTCATAGGTTAATTTTTAGAATGCATACATGAAGGTTATGTGACCATTTATGCATTCTGGTCCGTTCTGTTGTCGTTAATAATAAAATACTGCTTTTGAAAAGCAGTTCAAAATCAAGGATCAAATTAAACCGTTTTTACTGACAGAAGTGAAACTATGGAAGCCCTTTTTGTCAAGGATAATAATAGTTTTTTTTTTTTTGTCTTTATCTTCATAATTAATTTAGATTTCTCCTGACAATTCAGAGAACAGGATTATGAGATACACCCTCTTGCAATTTCGGAAAATACCTCATAAAGGTCCTTATCAGAAAATACCTCAAAGTTAATACCTTGAATTTGTAATACACACAATCTCTTTCAAAAAGACAAATTTGAATCTTAAGATGCTTGTATATAAAAAAATGTTTTATTAAAAAAAAACTGTGTGTGTGCGTATATACAGTTGAAGTCAGAATTATTAGCCCACTTTGAATATTTTTTTTCTTTTTTAAATATTTCCCCAATGATGTTTAACAGAGCAAGGAAATTTTCACAGTATGTCTGATAATATATTTTTCTTCTGGAGAAAGTCTTATTTGTTTTATTTTGGCTAGAATAAAAGCAGTTTTTAATTTTAATAAAAAACATTTTAGGGACAATATTATTAGCCCCTTTAAGCAAATTTTTTTCCAATTGTCTACAGAACAAATCATCGTTATACAATAACCTGCCTAATTAGTCTAACCTGCGTAGTTAACCTAATTAACCTAGTTAAGCCTTTAAATGTCACTTTAAGCTGTATAGAAGTGTCTTGAAAAATGTCTAGTAAAATATTATTTACTGTCATCATGGCAAAGATAAAATAAATCAGTGATTGAAAATGAGTTATTAAAACTATTATGTTTAGAAATGTGTTGAAAAAATCTCCATTTACATGTTTTTTTTTTTTTTTTAATCTGACTGGCTGATAGTCATGTGATATTCTGCAAATAACAGCACTAGTACAGCCTCTACACCCTTGTGTATTACTCCGCCTACATAAAGTAACAGCAGATGAATAAACTCACTACAGTTTGACAAATATTGCAGCTGTTAGACAACATCATGTAATTTTGAGGCTTTTTTAGGTGAGAATGTAGTTGTTTAGATTGCAACAATGCAGTTTATTTATAAGGAAATTTCAGAGATTCAACACGTCGGCGTCCATCAGCCTGTCATTCTGAGAAGAGCAAAGACAGCTGGCGTTCTGCCACAAGATGGCGACAGAGACCGCATAATAAGCCCTCAGGAGAGGAAAAATTATTATTATTATTATTATTATTATTATTATGCCAACCAATTGTTGTATAAACACAATATATCATGAGTAGCAGTGCAATATGGCTGTATTTTGGCACTGGTGGGAGTAGAGAATCTGAAAAATCCTTTTGTAAGAGGAACTACTTGCTTCCGCCATTATAAACCATTGCTGCTAAACAAACGTCACTTTAGAGCTAGTGTTTGAATGATTCTCTAGCGTAATGTCTAAAGTGTTGATAAAACAGCTGATTTTTCTGACATTTTAAGATTATAAGGCTATACGGCATGAAATGCCATCAGTCTACAGAGATTTTCTAGTATTTCTCTTGCAATCGGGAGATCACAATAATTAACCCGAAACAAGCCAAAGCAAAGCAATCACTACCAGATTACTATGGTATACATACAGCACTACAAAATAGAAAAGAGAGAGATCAACTTAGAAAATCACTTAGTTTGAAATATGAAAAGAAAACGCAGAGTTTTTCTCCCCTTAGGGCTTATTATGCAGTCTCTATCACCATCTTGTGGCGCAACCAGCTTTGCTCTGCTCAATGACAGGCTAATGAATGCTGACGCGCTGCTCTCTGAAATTATACATTTTTAAAATTGCCACTATCCTTATAAATAAACTGCATATATGCAATCTAAAAAACTACATTCTCACCTAAAAGCCTCAAAAGTACATGATGTTGTCCAACAGCGGCAATATTTGTCAAACTGTAGTGAGTTTATTGATCTGCTGTCACTCTGTGTGGGTGGCGTAATACACAAGTGTAAAGAGGCTGTACGAAGGCTGTTATTGCAGAATATTGCACGGCTATCAGCCAATCAGATTCGAGAATTAGGCAGAGCTGTTGTATATTTCATAATTATTTGACTTTTTGAAAAAAGAAAAATTTAACCACATATCTTTTAATCTTTCTCACGAGAGTACTGTCTTATTAACTAATGAATAAGGACAAAATTAAATGATCATTAAGCAATGCTGATGATTATCATTTATGCAGTTGTAATTATTTACAATATTTGTCATTGTAAACAGCATTAATAATAATAACAAGCACATCTGTACTCGAATGGTCTGATATAACAGTTTTTCTAGATGTTTAATTACAGCAAATCCCTGATGGCTGTATGTTTGTCTTGTCCTCAGATGTTCAGTCAGACATCTGTTGGAGAAGATAAACAGATCGTTTCCTCAGATTAACCAGAGCAGACGCTGCTCTTATCATCCACACACTCCTCACGTTTCACACTGTCCGAGTCTTATCCTGGATTATGATCGCTCAGATTCAGCTAGTCATTCATTCATATGGCCATAACAGTGTTGACGTGCTGTTGCGTCAAACGCTCTGCTCCATAACCAGATCGCTTTATCTAATTACTTAGCATTAGTGGATAAACCAGTGCTCCCGAAAAGTCCATTAGAACTCAACCTGGCCTTGTTTTCATCAAGTGTCCCAGAATCTCAGTCAGGTTTAAATAGGGGTGGCTAAGAGATGTGTTTGCTTGTATTGGGGAAAAATATCAGGCTGTCACTTTCTGGTTCTTGAAAAACCTTTAAAAATGGAAACCTCCTCATGATCTCTCAATTAAGCACTGGTTACATTTACTATTGGAAATACTGTATCTGGAACTGTCAACAGCACGGATCAACCATGCCAAAACTGACATTCTTTCGGTATGGAAAATCTATATATGCAACGTCAAAGAAATCTTAGACACTTAACTCTCATCTGATGCTACGGATGTCAAACTTAATGTAAATTATCTAACAGCTTGGTCTAAACTACAGTTATTCTGTGCTGTCTGATGTGCGTATATAATGGGGTTGGGGGATGGGGAATATATATATAGGGTAATATCTGTTAAAAGTATTTTTCTATCTGATTGTAAAACATTTTATATTTTCATTTTCGGAAATAAATAAAAATTGAATTACACAAAAAAAAAAAACTGACAAGAATGTGGTTCACAGTTTTTAGATCATCTGACTGCTGGCTAAATCTCTTGACCCTTAAACCCTGAGCACATACAGTTGAAGGCAAATTTGTTAGCCCTCCTTTGCAATATTTAGTCCTTAGTCAAATGTCTGTGAAGTAATATATAATGGATTAAGGAAATTGTCACAATATTTCCTGTAGTTTTTCTCTTCTGGAGAAAGTCTTATTTGTTTTATTTGGGCTGAAATAAAAGCAGTTTTTAATAATATAAAAAATTTTTAGTGTTATCTTTTCTGAGCACTACTTCTGTCCCCCTGAAATTCCTTCATCAATGACCGTTTGCTTGTTCTCCTGCAGATCTTGAGTTATCTGGTGGCGTGTGATCGCTTATGTGAACGAGGCTATGAGGAAGCCCAGGTTGAAGAAGCTCTTGAGATGTTTCAGAACTGCGAGACTAAGGTGTGTGTGTGTGTGTAGTTTCAGACTTCACAAATTGCTAGTAAAATTGCTATTTGATATACTGTTATAATTTAAAGCAGTGTTTCTCAACTGGTGGGTCACGATGCAAAAGTGGGTCGCGGGAACATTTTCAGTGGGTCACGGAGTGTGTGATCAAAAAAAAAACAACAACAAAAGTTAAAATGTTAACTCATTTTGCTTATATCAGACTTTTTGTTTGAAATGCGTGTGCGACAACCATACCGTTTGACATGTGAAATTTCGTTTAATTATAGCAACAAATATGTCGAAGCGCAAGTACGACCTCGGATATGTAAAGTATGGATTTATATATATTGACGACAAAAAAGGCTTAAAACCTCAGTGTGTCATATGTAGTGAGGTGCTCTCACAGAAGAGCATGTAACCTTCAATTGAAACGACATTTAGAAACCAAACATCCCAGTTGCAAGGACAAACGAGGACTGTTTTTAAAGACGACTCCAAAAGCTGAGGGCATCACAAAAGTGCAGAACATCTTCATGTTCAAAACAAGTACAGGCACTCCACACATTACTGTGTAGCTCACCGTTTAGCAAAGGCCAAGAAAGCACACACAATAGCAGATGAGCAAATAACTGGTGATTATTGTAAAAATGGTTGATTATTTTAATGATTTTCTTTATTTTGCTGGTTTGTTCTGTTTAATCGGATCAGAGTAATGTTTTATTAACACTTCAGTTTAGTTAATGGTAGCTGAACTTTTCCACTGTTTACAATATTTGACGGTTTTACTTTTATAGTAACATTACTATAATTTGACACATTTTGATTTATCGGTCACTACTTGAGTATGTTAACGAATAAATACAAATGAATTATGATTCCTAAAATTATATTATAGTTCCTGAAAAGTTTGGTTTAAATTTTGATTTATTGATTTAAAGGGATAGTTCATTGTCATCAAATATAAATTTGCTATAAATTCACTCACCCTCAAGACATCTAAGATCATTTTTTTCGGTAACACTTTATAATAACTGCACACTATGAATCATTAACTATGCATTAGTATCTAGTGAATTCATTATTTGTTAAGCATTAACTTTACATTAATAAACGTTAGTAAACAGTTTATAATTGCAGCTACAGATGTTCTATTCTTGACTTATAACCACATTTATAATGTGCCTAATAATTGTTTTTTTTATATTTTGTTAATGATTTATTTTTCATTACTAAATGAAGTATTGCATTCTTTACAAACCATTTGCATTTAGGAGTAGTTGGTGGATATTAAGATTTTACAAAATGACTTCGTAAATGATTGATAAACTATTGAAATCAATGCTTATATATTGTATTATTCAGGCATATATTATTGGTTATTATACATGTTTATGAATGCTTTATTAACTCACCTTCATGCAGTTTTGTGACCTAATCTAAAGTGAGGACTATGCATGCTTTTTAAATCCCTTATAATTGATGATTAAAGGTTCAGGATCAAATGAACAATAATATTTGCAAACTTAAATAAAAAATAAAATGACTGTGAAGTTCAAATATTGCCAAATAACAGATGTCAAAATACAACATAAAACTGGATAAAACATCATCAGTATAATCATTTAACAATATAATAAGAAGCAATGTTTAAACTGTACATTTATTTTATTTAAGATAAGGTTGCAAAGATTAATTTTTCATTTGAAGTACAGTTTCAGTTGTGTATCTTCAAACGAATAGGATTGAATAAAAGTGTTTATGTTACATTTTTTTTTTTTTTAGTTTAGAATTTAACTGAGCCTTTAATTGTCATTTATAAGGGATTTATGAAGCATGAATGGTCCTCACTTTAGATTAGGTCACAAAACTGCACAAGTTGAGTTAATAAAGCATTGATAAACATACAAATTAACTATTAGTATATGCCTGAATAATAAAAATTATAAATGTTAATTTGAATAGTTTATAAATCATTTACTAACTCGTTCTGAATGATCTTAAAAACAACTAACTATGCTTAAAAAACTGGTTTGTAAATAATACCATACTTAATGTAGTAATGAAAGAAATTATTAGCCAAAGTTGAATTATTAAGCACATTTTAAATGTGGCTATAAGTCAAGAATAGAGCATTTGTAGCTGCAGTTATAAACTGCTTACTAACGTTTATTAATGTAGAGTTAATGCTTAACAGATAATGAATTCACTATTTTGCTAATAATTAATAAATGGTTCATAGTGTTGTAAAAAAAATAAATGAGTGAAAAGAAGAGAGAAGAACCCAGTCCAGGAGGCTCGGAACAAGCAGAATTCCTTTATTGAGACGTGTTGGTTAATCTGCAGTCATACAGCGTCTTTAAGATGTCCATGTGTCTGCAAGAGCCTACTAGAGGTCCGCAGTCTGCAAGTTCTTTTATGAGTCTCTCACAAGTCTCACACAAGTCTGATTTAAGACAAAGATTTCATGTCTATATTGTGTTCTTAGGAGGAGGGGATTTGGCTAAACAAAGCATGCAAATTAAGAGTTGGAGTCAGCATGGCATAGGTGTTAAAAAACGGCCCAGCTACTGACCACACAAGTTAATCAACATAGGGTTTCTGTAGCATAAAAGCAACACCCGAAGACAAAGACAGAGTCGTTTAAAGCATTTGCATCACTGGCTTAGCCTGTAGTCAGAGAGATAAAGGTTAAATGTCCCTCCTAGCTGGGATGTTAATGAAATTATATAATTAAAAACCAAAGAATATAACTTTTCAGTTTTACGTAGATTATTGTTCATTTGGAATTAGTTGATAGAAATTTATATTTCCACAATAGTATGTAGTTATTATGTATATATATAGTCAGAATTATTTGCCCCCCTTTGATTACAGCCACAAAGGGGAAAAATGAAAGTGGATGGTGATATAAAGTGTAAAAAAGGAATGGAAATGTGTAAATAATCTATTAAAATATCTATTCAGCAGTTCTCAAGTTATCTTTCCAGAGATCAAGCTCACATAATGTTATTTGACAACAGAAATAAAGCTGCGGTCACACTAGAGTTTGAGCTTGCGAAATTCTGTAGTATGTTGCTGTGAAAAGGGGCGGGATTTAACAAGATGATTAGACATTGAAAAAAAGCGAGCGATTGGTCCAGATTTTAAATTGCTGTTCAGAGAGGTCATGTTTTGATCCTCGATTGGTCTCACACTGTCAAGTGATGCGATTTTTCAGGTCAGAGTTCACCAAGCTTTGCATCGCAGCGAACTGCAAAACTTGTTGCACAAGCTTGCGTTTCCGGTTTGACGCATTCGCGTGCGTATGAATGGAAGTCTATGAAGAGAAAAGTCCAGTGTGACCGCAGCATTGAACACACCATTGAAACACAAAATATGGGTAACGTTTAATTGACAGGTTTTTGTGTGTGTATATATAATGTGTGTGTATATATAATATTGTAATAATGCTACACAACATTACTCTTTTTATTTTTTGGATTTAAATAAATGCAGGCATTGCAAACTTTTATTTTAAAAAGCATTAAAAGGATTAGTTTTTGCCACGAACTACTCCAAACATTTGAGCAGTAGCGTTGTCTGTTCACCTTCATTGTTCATCCACCACTGTTGTGTTTTCAGGCTGAGGAGTTCCTGCATCTTCTGGCTCAGTTTAATGAAATGGGCTTCCAGCAAAACGCCATTAAAGAGGTCCTTCTGGTGCACGAAAACCACCGCGAGCGAGCGCTGGAGGAGCTGATGACCCGTGTGGCCTGATCCAGAATCAGAATAATCATGATATCAGGGTTTGTACTGTTCTCTGAGCTGCTGCTTATTTATCACACGCTGAACTGTGTTTATTCATTATTGTGTTATTATAGACACACAGTCAACACAGGCTCGTTGTGGATACGTACCCCTGTCTACATTTCTGGAGAGTTCGAATTACAATATAGCCAGAGGTACATCTGGCTGCATTATGTCATTAAAATGAATGATACAGAGCAGTATGACGCCACCGTCGCCTTCTGTACATTTTAGCGCTTCCAGCTGACCACATATCTTCGTATGGACAGTTTTTACGGTGTTAGCAGTTTGCCTAGTAGCTTGCTGTGTATGTTGGCGGACTTGGAATGCGGAACGAAGTTGACCACTATGGCTGGGTTCAAGCCCGGTGATGAGCGGTTCCAGAAACCAGATAAAGCAAAAGCAAAAAATAAACAAATAAATAAATAAACCAGCTGAAAGTGTTGTAAAATCACGCGACCGCGACACATTTTCTTTTTCTAGATTGCTTTTGAAAACACTATCGGTTGGGTTTAGGTACAGGAGCTGGGTTGGTCAGTCATTCAGTCGACAGCAAGCTGGCATGGTGGGCTGAGTTTTATATTGCACCCTCTGGTGGATTTATGCACGAAGACGTACCTCGACTATATCTCACTGTCCCCAGAAATGTAGACCTGGGTAGGTATTTGCATTAAGCCTGGGTTGCATACAGTTGGAGTCAGAATTATTAGCCCCCCTTTACATTTTTTCCCAATTTCTGTTTAACGGAAAAAAATTAAATAAAACTAATTTCCAGTAACTGATTTATTTTATCGTTGCCATGATGACGGTAAATAATATGAGACTAGCTATATTTCAAGATACTGGTATTCAGCTTAAAGTGACATTTTTTTAAAGCTTAACTAGATTAATTAGGCAAGGTAGTAATTTGGCAAGTTATTTTCCAATGATGGTTTGTTCTGTAGACCATTAAAAACAAATATTGCTTAAGAGGGTTAATAATAATGTTGATCTTAATATGTTTTTTTTTTTTTTTATTAAAACTGCTTTTATTCTAGCTGAAATAAAACAAACAAGACTGTCTATCAGTTTGTCTGATAAAAATATTATCAGACAAACTGTGAAAATTTCCTTGCTCTGTTAAACATCATTTGAAAAATATCTTCGACAGAAAACAAAATTCACAGGAGGGTGAATAATTCTGACTTAAACTGTATGTTGAGGCCTTGGGGAGAAGCACAGTTTGACTCGTTGTTATTTGTAAAGAGGTTTTCATGGCATTCAGACTTTTCTTGTCTAATTTTTAGAACTGTATATTTATTATGCTCTTTTTTTTTTCTTTTTGGAATTCATGACAATATTAAGCTTTGAAAAATGCTTTAGAATTGTTAAAAGGCACAAAAAAGTCCTTTTTAATAATACTACATTAATGTTTTGATGAGGTGCCTGCACTTCTGTACAACATGCTGAAAACCCAAAGGAGAGAAAGTGTCTTTTGGTCTGTGTTTATATCTTTTATAATGCAGGAATTCTCCTATTTACTTGAAGAAAGATTTGACAGTAAAGTTAAGTGTTATTGTTAATTAGTTCTTAGTAATAGTACAATATTTATTAGCAACGTTTTTTTTTTTGTATGTTTCCAATCTGTGACGTCAGTTAATGGTCAAATGACATGCAAAAAAATAAATAAAAATAAAATATATTTCATCTTTTTTGTGTTTTTTTTTTTCATTTAATTGAAAAAAACATTTTTGACATTTTTTTATTACCTATTTTACAGTTAAATATATATCTATAGTAAGGTAATGGTCCGAAAAAGAGAAAATCTCCAGTAAGCGGCAGTTCTGTGGGCGCAAATGCCTTGTTGATGTCAGAGGAGAATGGCCAGACTGGTTCCAGCTGATAGAAAGGCAACAGCAACTCAAATAACCACTAGTTACAACCGAGGTCTGCAGAAGAGCATCTCTGTACACACAACACGTCCAACCTTGAGGCAGATGGGCTACAGCAGCAGAAGACCACACCGGGTGCCACTCCTGTCAGCCAAGAACAGGAAACCGAGGCTACAATTCACACAGGCTCACAAAAATTTGAATCTTAAAAAATCTTCAGGCAATAGAAGATTGGAAAAACGTTGCCTGGTCTGATGAGTTTCGATTTCTGCGGTCGGATTTTGGCATCAGCAACATGAAAGCATGGATCTATCCTGCCTTGTATCAGGTTCAGGCTGGTGGTGGTGGTGTAATGGTGTGGGGGATATTTTCTTGGCACACTTTGGGCCCATCAGTTCCACCTGAGCATCATGTCAACGCCACAGCCTACCTGAGTATTGCTGCTGACCATGTCCATCCCTTTATGACCACAGTGTACCCATCTTCTAGTCTAGTGGATACTTCCAGCAGGATAACGCGCCATGTCTGAAAGCACGAATCATCTCAGATTGCTTTCTTAAATATGACAATGAGTTCACTGTACAATGGCCTCCACAGTCACCAGAGCTCAACCTAATATAGCACCTTTGGGATATGGTGTGTGTATATATATGTGTGTGTGTGTGTGTGTGTATGTATATATATGTATATATATATACTGTACATATATACATACAAACATACACAAAACCCTTACAGACACACATTACATTTTCAATCAATAGCTTTTATATTTATATTACTATATTAATATATAAATAAACAAATCATTGAAATTAAAGGAAGGATTTTAAAAATCCTCCTAAATTAAAAGCTTTTTTTTTTTCAAATCCTGAAATGCAGATGACTTAGTTTCAAGAGAATATTATAGAATTCGTATTTAATTGTTTTATAAGTGTTTGATTTTAGGTTACATTACAAATATCTGACTTTTATTTACAACTTGTTTAATTAATCTTCTGTTTTTAACTTAAAAAGAATATTACTGATGAATTGAATTTTTCAAACATGGCAATAAACACATAAGATTAATATTTATGCTTTGATAATTTTTTAAAAATCTCATATTATAATATTAAACAATCCTGAAACACAAAATATATCAGTTTTTACAAAATAATATTTGTGCTTACACAGAATTCTACAATACTAAATTGTTTGCTTTCAAAAATTAAACCATCATGTTTTTATTTACAGCATATGCTTAATCACAGTATGTAGACATTTATTCTATTCTAGTTAGTGTGGATTTCTTTTTTTTATAATTGGATACTTTTATTTGGCAAAGATTCATTTATTTTCATAAAGTAAGCATAAAAGTTATTTTGAGGCTCGCTTTGATATTCATTAAGATAATCTTCAACAATAATTAAATAATTTAATGAGTTTCTGTCATTTGATTGGCTAATTAGATAGTCGTGTTAACAAGCAGCTGAACAAGTGTACCTAATAAAGTGGCCGGTCAGTCTATAAATAAACAGTCCATTTGTTATACAAGTGCAGATGTGATTTCAGAGTTTCAACATTGGCATGAAGAACCTGAAAACTTGGACAACATTTTTACCCTGATTACCTCAGTAAACAACAAAAACGACTATTCAATATGAAATTTCAGTCAAGTGTTTGAAAGAAAAGTCCAGTCTAAACAACAAAATCCATGTCTCATTGTTCTTGTTTCTGGAGAAAGTTTATAACCCTCATTTCTCAGTTTCACTTTGGTATTTGTGAACATTATCATGGGGCAAAGGTCCTTATGAAATGTTAGGCTTGACAACTTGATTAATCTTCTTCAGATCAATTTATTTTCAGCCTAAACATGTTTAAAACTACATATACATTTGTTTAAAGTGTAAAGAATGATGATTTTCATGTGTTTTCAGCAGATTTCATCACTAACTCAGGTCTGCAGAATGACAACTTGATCAAACTCCTTCAGATAACTTTATTTTCAACCTAAGCCAGTTTCAAAGTATATACACTCACCGGCCACTTTATTAGGTACACCTGTCCAACTGCTCGTTAACGCAAATTACTAATCACATGACAGCAACTCAATGCATTTAGGCTTGTAGACATGGTCAGGATGATCTGCTGCAGTTCAAACCGAGCATTAGAATAGGGAAGAAAGGTGATTTACGTGACTTTGAACATGGCATGGTTATTGGTGCCAGACGGGCTGGTCTGAGTATTTCAGAAACTGCTGATCTACTGGGATTTTCACGCACAACTATTTCTAAGTTTACAGAGAATGGTTAGAAAAATAGAAAATATCCAGTGAGCGGCAGTTCTGTGGTTTAACGGTTCAGGCTGGTGGTGGTGTAATGGTGTGGGGGATATTTTCTTGGCACACTTTGTGCCCGTTAGTACCAACTGAGCATCGTGTCAATGCCACAGCCTACCTGAGTATTGTTGCTGACCATCTCCATCCCTTATTGACCACAGTGTACACATCTTCTGATGGCTACTTCCAGCAGGATAACGCACCATGTCATAAAGCTCAAATCATCTCAGACTGGTTTCTTAAACATGACAGTGAGTTCATTGTACTCAAAAGGTTACTCTGAGGAATATTTCCAGTACCTTGTTGAATCTTTGCCACGAAGGATTAAGGCAGTTCTGATGGCAAAAGGGGGTCCAACCCGGTACTAGGAAGGTGTACCTAATAAAGTGGCCATTGAGTGTATAATGTTCAAAAAAGAAAAATTGTGAATTTTTATGTGTTTCAGCAGATTTCATCACCAACTAAAATCATTTTCTGGAGTGCAGAATGACAACTTGATCAAACACCTTCAGATAATTTCATTTTCATCTTTAAAACAACATTTAATGTTGTTCGAAACAGACAGATTGTTGTTTTTCATGTGTTTTGAGCAGATTTTAGGTACAATGTGTTCACTGTACTCAAATGGCCTCCACAGTCCCCAGAACTCAATCCAATAGAGCACCTTTGGTATGTGGTGGAATGAGAGAGTCAAATTATGGATGTGCAGCCGACAAATCTGCAGGAACTACGTGATGCTATCATGTCAATATAGAGCAAAATCCCACAAGGGATTAAGGCAGAGTTGAAGCCAAAAGCGGTCCAACCCGGTACTAGTAAGGTGTACCTAATAAAGTGGCCGGTGAGTGTATAACATTGTTTAAAAAAGAAAAATTGTGGATTTCATCACTAACTAAAATAATTTCCCGCAATGCAGAATGACAACTTTATCAAACTCCTTCAGATTTTCCGTCTAAACTAGTTTCAAACTATATATAATGTTGTTTAAAGCTGT